GTCTTGATTATCCATTGCAGCTCTGCAAGCTTCATACTGCAGGGGCCTAAAGCTTTTGTTGCCAAAGATGACAACATTGGCAAAATTGACATCATCGAGGCAACAAAGTTGTTCATAGCTCAGAACTTCTCTCCTTTGATGAAATGCAGCTGGAGGCATCTCTCTATTTGAAGTGGGAGTCGTTGACTCATATCTGTTGGTTCCCCTAGTCACCTTCAAAATTTGAAATTGAGGAAGTTAAAATATCAACTAAAAAGTAACAGCAGAAAGGCAAAAGCAAGCTATAATAGTTTGAAAGCACAGGATGAACACAATAGCATGTTTTATATGTTGTCCGTATGCAAACATTATGTTATAACATCACCTTATGCAAACTAGAATAACGACAATGGAATTGGCTATTAGTGGAAGATCACAATAAGTGGCTTACTGTGGATTTTGCTGAGCTTCGGCTTTGCATTCCAGAGTTTCTAGATTGTGTCTGCCTTTGCATACTGGAAGAGTTGTCACAAAGGTTGTCCATTTCATCACCCATTTCAAAATCTGAATCATCAGAGGCAAAATCGAAACCTTCAAAATGATCCGAACACGTTGAGAGCACGAATTTGGTTCTCTAGATGTATGACTGCTGTCCATAGCAACTCCTCCATTACAGTCAGGCACATTCTTCATCATCATATCATTCAAGTTGCCACATGCTTCGGTCTCGATCCCTTTGAGATCATCCCAATCATCAGTAGGGTGTGTGACATCAGCCAGCGATGCAAGGAAATCATCGCCACAGTTCTCAACAGTAACCAAATCCAGACCATCCTCCCCTGTACAAGAATAAGGAACCATATATCAAGTGATTAGGCAATGACAATCCCAGTAAACAGTAGTAAAAAGGAACATGGGTGAGCTACACAAGAGCAAGTTGGCAGATTCGACAATGTAAATTTTTGCTTTTAAGAAAGGAAGACAACGTAAGCATGCATCCACCTTTCTGAATACCTACAGTATGACCCTTTTTTGTGAAACTCAACCTTGCACTCTTGCCAGCACAAGCAAACAACATAAAAAGATTAACCAAAATTATATGTTTACTAGCAGTACATGGTGTTTTTTATTTTCCCAGCAGAGTAGCATGTGTATTGGTCGAAGCCTTCCATTTGCTCCTTTTTCTTTTAGGGTGACAGGCCACATTGTGAAGATAATGCCATTATCTAGTTAACCAAATACCCCCAAACAGTCCCAGCAGTAATAATATACAAAACATCATACAGTACTTTAATGGACCGAGCCATTTAGTAGCAATATCTTCACAATTTGCAATAAATTTAAAGCCAATAGAAACTGAGAAACATAATCCCAAACAATAGCCAATATTTCCTTTTTATCATTATTAATAAAGCACCAGGTCTGAGAATCCCAAATTGTGGAGATTGCCCAGTCCAGGTCCAGCAGACATGTCAATTTCTACGGTACTCCGAAGTCAATGTAGACCATCCATTTAGTCTAAATCTAAACAGTTAGGATGAGCTATTACCTCCTAGGAGCAGGTGCACAAATTTGACAATGTAACATTTGCTTTAGAAACTGACAATGTAAACATGCATCCACATTTCTGAATACCCCTAAACCATGCCCTCTTGCTAAAACAAGCAAAAGAAACTAAGCAAAATGACTTGTTTAATAGCAGGAAACAGTGTATTTATTTTCCCGGCAGTCCAGCAGCTAAAATTACATAGCGTGTGCATTGGTCGAAGTCCTCAGGTTTTTTTTTTTTTTTTTGAATGACAGGCCACGTCATGAAGATAATACTCATTCCTAGTTGGTGCCCCACGCCCCCACACACACCCCACCACCACAACAACAAAACAGTCACCAGAGATATTATTCAAAACATCATACTTTATTGGACTGAATCCCATACTAGCATTATCCTCACAATTAGCTCCTATGTAAAACCTGCGAAACATGAGCCCATAAACTGCTAGCCATGGCACATCAAGAAACAAAATGACACAATGATTCATACCCATCACAGAAGCAACATTGTAAAAGTTTAACAGCTCCTCTTTTCACCAAACTATCAGCAGTCATCATTGTTTTGTTGTAAGAAATCAGGCACAGAAACATAAATCACAGAAGGGACGCGCATTTATCATAACAAAGGAATGTATCGAGGCTTGACACCTCAAAAACCGATGAGTGCATACAGAGACTGGGACGAATAGGTACCCTTGGTCTCCCCTCAAAACAGTTCCAGCAGCAAAATATTCAACACATCAGACTTTTATTTTGGACTGAACCTTTTACTAGCAATATGTTCACAATTTTAAACAATTCTGAAGCCACTACAAACTGAGACACAGAATCCCATACTCTGGTAGCCACCAATAATTCAAGAAATAAGATGGCGCGATGATTCATACTCATTACAGAAGCAACGTTCTAAAAGCCTAACATCTCCCCTCTTCCTCAAACTGTCAACACTCATTGTTTTGCTACTGGAAATCAACCACAGAAACATATGAGCGTAAGGAGGGACACATGTTTTCCATAAAGAAGGGATATGTAGAGGCTTCAGCACTAAAAAATTGAACGGTACATGTACATAGATAGACTGAGAAGAATAGGCACCCTACCCTTGCACTCACAGTCTCATACCACAACAAATCCACAACAAGGCGTGAGCATCTGAACTACATAGCACACTATGCAAACGACCTCTCCATGAGAAGTGCAGAAAAGGTAGAATTGCATCTGAACATCCAGCGCAGTAGCTAATTTAGTAATTTCCCCAACCTTTTTTGGTTACTAACAGAGTACAAGTCCCAGAACCGCAGAAGAGAGGAACGGGCGCGTCCATCCCAGCGGGCCCGGCCGGCCGATCTGAGAGAGAAGAGAGGAAGCCGCGGCGGCGGAGGAGGCCGCGCAGCAGGTACGTACCGTAGACCTCGAGGAGGCGGGCGAGGCAGCTGGCGGCGAGGTCACGGTCGAAGCCGCACTCGACGGCGAGGTCGAGCAGGCGGCGCTTCTCCCTCTCCCGCGCCCTCCGCGCGCGCTGGTCCATCGCCGCGCTGGGCGCGGTAACCCTAGCGTCAGCGCCGCCGCGCCGGAGAGGAAATGGCGGGGACGGAGCGGAACGGAATGGCGGCTGTGGATGCGAGTTTCCTTCCCCTCGACTTGGCGCGCGGCGGAAACTGGAGGGCAGGAAGGATAGTGTGCCGGCGGGCATGGTTGGCCCATTAGAAAGTAGTGGTTTGGTGCTGGGCCTAGAGGGAAGGGACAGGGAGGATCCAATCGTAAGGTGGGCTGGGGAATCTGCGCTGCGCGGAGCGGCTCACGTGGACCGTGCTTGCGAATGGTTTCTCCCTTATTTCAGTTTGTTTTTTGGAAGAAAAAAAGGGATACAAATTTACATATGCTGATTTGTTATTATGGTCTTATGGACTGACGGGCTAGGGTATCTAGCTATCCACGAGTTTTGGAGGTCAAAATCTCTGAAATTTCGAGGCAGATTGGTTGATGTCCTAAATTTGGTACCAAAACGTACCACCGTCTCATATTTAGCAAGCAAAGTGCGAAGAAAAATCCGTGGCGCGATGAGTAGTAAAAGTTGCGACAGTACCCTGTTAGCGTATCGGCCGTGTTGGCGTCGTGGGTGGAACGGATCCATGGTGACACACACACGGCGACTCGGCGAGGACGAGGAGTTCCATGCGACTTGAAGCCTCGACGCTACGCGGGCGTGCGGGTGCAGAGAATGGGTTGGCGTGGATCGGAGGAGCACAGCGCGCGGGGAGCATTTGTCAGGCATGCACGGCGAGCGGCACGAGCGAGACGTGACGACGGTAGCAGTGGGTCAGCAGACGCAGAGGCACGGGGGAGACCGTCTCGCCGTCGTCCTCCGCCGCGCCCCCGACGGACGGCGCCGTAGTAGCCCGTAGGACACAGGCAGGCAGCGAAGGAAAAGGGGCGGTGCCGGTGATGATGGGCGGCGCGGAAAAGGCAAAACGGAAACGTGGCCGTCGTATAGGCTACCCGTGGCGCAAGGGCAACTAGTAGAGCCGTAGAGGCACGGAGGACGCTGACAGGGTGGCAGGCCGCCGCACCCGCACCCGCACAGCGCACAGCGCTGCGGCGTAGGGTGGCGGTGCCGAGGTCGATCCACGACCCCAGGACAGAGGAAAAGCGAAGCAGAAGTGGCGATGGCTAGGTGGTAGCGGAACTGTGCCTCCGGGACTGTGCACCTGCGGTGGTCCCGCGCACACGCGACCCTCCCGTCCGTTCTGAACCCACTGTGGAGTCACGGATGGCCGCGCGCCGCACCGCCCCGGACCTCGCATCGTGATCGCTGCCAGGATGATGACGGAACGGCCCATGGAACCGCACGACGCATGCGCGCACGCAACGCGCAGCCCACGTGGGCCGGCCGGTACCTACTCTACCCGCCTAGTATAGCACCGTCTTCTCTTCACTAGCCGCCCGCCCTGCAACACTCCCGCCGTCGCCGCACAGTAGTGTGCTCCAGCGGCGACGGCGACACTCCCTGGCTGCTTTGCCAAAGCATCGCCATCGTCGTTGATCTGAAGCCGAAACGAACGGGACGAGCGGACGAGTTCGTCAGGGGCCTACCGGCCACCGGGCAGGCAGGCGAGAGGGACCGCCCTGCGGTTTCGCGGTTCGTCACGGTCAGATCTGGTTATCCGCCGGGTACAGGGAATAATAATATCCTCGCACAAGGACACGCGCGGAGTCCGGTTATTACCACACGGCCCCTGGGCACATCCAGGGACAGACCAAACGCGTATTCAGCCAAACCGCGGGGGCTGATCCGCGAAAAGTCCCCGCGAGTTAAAAACTCCCACCTCCACGCTCTCCCACGCTTCCCGTTCTCCCATCACCATTTCCCAGTTCCCACCCATCCATCCATCCTCCCTCGCGCACACAACGGCACCGCCACCAAGGCACTGGCACCAACACACCAGCAGCCCGACTCCACCGCCCCGGCGATGGCCGGCGCCGAGGCCGCGGCATCGGCGGCCGCCAGCGCCACCGTCGCGGACGACCCGCCGGCGTGCGACGACAGCGCCTGCTCCACGCCCTTCGTCAGCGCGCCGTCCAGCCCCACCCGTGACCGGGACCGGGACCCGTACCCGTCCCACTTCTTCTTCAGCGCGCCGACCAGCCCCACCCGCGGCGGCGGCGGCGGCAAGGACGCCATCCCCGGCGTCCTCGACTTCGACTTCGACTTCTCCTCGCGCTTCCCGTCGCCCTCCGCCGCCGCCATGTCCTCCGCCGACGAGCTCTTCCACAACGGCCAGATCCGCCCCGTCCGCCTCGCCGCCGCGCTGCTGCAGCCGCACCCGGACCCGGCCTTGCTGCTGGACTTCCCCGACGCCGCCGCGGACGCGCGGCGCGCTGACGCCGAGCGGGTGGAGGAGGCAGCGGCCGACGAGCGCGGCCGCGTCCGGAGCCGCTCCCTGCGCCGGAAGGCGCGCTCGATGTCCCCGTTCCGCACACACTGGCGTACCGCGCCTGCACAACCTGTGCCGGAGGCCGAGTCCGCCGACGAGGCGCAGCATCCGGCGGCGGCGACCCCCGCGGCGTCGCGCTCGTCGTCGTCGTCGTCCACCGCCTCCTCTGCTTCCTCCACGTCGTCCTCGTCCTCCCGGGGATCCCGCCGCTGGGGCGGGTTCCTCAAGGACCTGCTCCACCGCAGCAAGCCGGACGGCGGCAAGACCACCCACCACCTGCAGCAGCATTCCCACCACGCTGATGCTCCAGCTGCGCCAACCGCGGCGGCGAAGCCGAGCGCATCGTCACCATCTCCATCTCCGTCACCCGCTAAGGGGAGGGGCGGGGCGCCGGGGCACCGCGGCGGCAGGAGGAGGTCCGCGCACGAGCGCCTGTACGAGGCGCGGCGCGCCGAGGCGGAGGAGATGCGGCGCCGGACGTCGCTGCCGTACCGCCAGGGCCTGCTCCTCTTCGGCTGCATCGGGCTCGGCAACCGCAGCTACGGCGCCGTGCACGGCCTCGCCAGGGGGCTCAACGCCACTGCCGCTGTCTCCAGGTCGTGACTCGCGACCGGCGCAAGCATTGCCGGGCGGCTGGGTGCTCTGCTGTGTTGCTCTGTCAGTGTGGTGGTAGTGTTCAGTGGCTAATCCACACTGAACAAGTGCAAAAACTGCAAAGAATGTTAGTAGTACTAGTAGCTTAGGAGTTGGTTCTTTTGTGGTTGAATGAATCTGCTCGTATAATATAAAGCCTATTGTATGGATTTGGGGGGTCAGCTTGTTTATCCCGCGGAAATTAGTGGAAACATGGTAGTGCTGTTAAAGAGCTTGTTCATGTGAACTAATCTTTCTTCTCTGCTTTCTCAGAAACCAGAGAAGCTGAAACTGACAATCGGTTTTCGGTTTCCATAAAATTTGCGACTTTTACGGTTCGTCTTTGTTCAGGAAGGCTGAACCGAACCAAAGACATGTCCTGTAGGAGTAAAATCTAGAATGCATCGTTCGGTTTGTTGCAGAGTTGTTTCTATCTTGAGCTGCCCTGCTCTGTTTTGTTAACCAGTCTGTTCCAGACTCCAGAGATAGGTTCCGTTTCGTCAGGAGTTTCGGAACCCCCATCTCTCCTCGCAGGTTTTACCTTGTTTAGGTCGCGAAAAGTTTTGCTAAAATTGCTACAGTATCTATCGCATCGAATCTTACGCTATAAAACGAAACTTCATAATTGAACACTAATTGTCAAATAAAAATGAAAGTGCTACAGTAATCAAATTTCCAGCTTTTCACCGACTAAACACGGGCTCAGGTCTGGTTCAGTAGTATTCAGTCACAGGAGAGGCGGCAGGAGAAAACTGTTGCTACATCCGGTAGAGGAACAGATTCAGCAAACATGCACATTTCGTTTGTTCATTCATTCATAACAAACATGTCCCTTTCAGCCTACTGCCCTTGCCGAGCTCTCAGAAACCAGTGTGTTCTAGTAGGCTTCAAGCTAAAAACACGGCTAGGGCCATGTTTAGTTCCCCTTATTTCCGGAATTTGACACTATATAAAAAGAAGATTCCTCGTCACATTAAACTTGTGGTATATGCATGAAGTACTAAATGTTGACGAAATTAAAAACTAATTACACAGTTTGGTTGTACTCTGCGAGACGAACGTTTTGAGCCTAACTAGTTAACGATTGGACAATTATTACCAAATAAAAACAAAATAGTATTGTACCTACAGTACGCCTCTTTTTTGGGCGGCGCCGAATCGGCTGCTGAACTAAACGCGGCCTAGTTTTAGAGCCGAGCTTCATAAACCACAGTAGTTACTAGAACGTCAGGGAGGGATTGATGTGAAAAGGAAAAGGCAAGGGAAGAGCCCAGTATACAGTTAATTTTAGCCGGAATTTAGCCAACAGTATTTTTCTCTCACAACAAACCAGGACCATTTAGACTTATCAACCCACGAACCAACCGGCGAGCTGAGTAGCTCTTACAGCATAGTTAAAAAGGCACGCCTTCTCCGACTAGGTCTAGTTTAGTTTGCAAAATTTTTAGCAAAATGGTATTATAACACTTTCGTTGTTATTTGACAATTAGTATCAAATCATAGTCTAATTAGGTTTTAAAAGATTCGTCTCGTGAATTTCGTTTAAACTGTGTAATTAGTTTTATTTTTTATTTATATTTAATGCTTCATGCATGCGTTCAAAGATTCGATGTGACGAGAAATCTTGAAAAATTTTGCAAAATGAAGTGGAACTAAATGGGATCTAGCTTTTGCTTGGCGGTGCACAGTAATTGTAATCTGGAGAGACGGCAGGCAGCACGGCATGGCACCGCCTCCCTCAGCCTGACGCCGTAAATTACCCCTGCTGCCTTTTCTGTTCCGTGGCGCAGTGCAGAACGAGACGAGCATGCAGCAGCCAGCTGCTGCGCGTTTACTTTTTTTACCCGCCCAAGGTAACCGAACAAACGGCGCCCTTTCACCGCCCTGGCCGCGGCTGGGTGGCTGGCTGCATCGGGAGACTCCACCTGCCGCTCGCTTTCAAGACGCGCAGGCAGGGAGAGGCACCCGCCAAACACGGTGATTAGCTAATGAATGAGGCGATCCCTCGCAACTGGTGCTGTGGATCGGTAAAATCGGAGTAGTGACCCATTTGTAGCTGAACACTGAACTAATCACCTGTGTGTCCTGTTCTGTTGGCCTTGCCGCTGTGCAGTCAGCCTTGGATGCTTGCGCTGCGTCCTGGAGGCTTGTCGTGCAAGTTCCTCGAGGGCGGCAAGCCAGCAGCCTCCTCCGTGCCGTGCGTGAGTACGGGGTACTAGCGCTCCACACCGGCTGAACAAATGTACTCCCTCCTCCGTTCGTTCTCGCTTTCTAAAAAAAAAACTTTGACTCACTTTATATAAAAAAATATTAATTTTTATGGTAGACAACTAATATCATTACATAGATTGTTAAAATCTTTTTTATAACAAATTTATTTAGAGATACAAATGTTGCAATCATGTTCTACAAATAAAAGTCATGTTTGTTTGGGCTCGTTTGGCTTATAAGCCATGACTGAAAGTACTATTAACTGATTTTGGATGAGAGAAAAATACTATTCGTTAGCTGATAAGCCATGACTTATAAGTCAAATACGACCAAACAAATATGCTGAAAGTCAAACTTACAGCATGGAAATGAAAAACCACGGTTATTTTGAGGCCGGAGGGAGTATTATTTTCAGTAGCATAGTACGTATATGAGCCAACGTTGCTTTATTGCCAGTCTAAAATTACTCAAAGAATAGTTTTTCTCAAAAAAAAAAAAGTTAATCAAAGACTAGACCAATCTTTTATGACATGTTTGCTTAATTTATCAGCGAATTTATTAGCTAGAATCTATAATATTTTTTTAAAAAAAATAAAAACAGCTTTGACTGATTTTAATACCAACCGCCCACCCATCTTTTTGAGCTGCAGAGAAAGAGGCAGTGTGGCAAAAGGGAGAGAGAGTACAGTAGGAGTACGTTAGTGGAGCAACAGTGACCATACGGCTTTTGCAGGGAAGAGGAGAGGCAGCTGACGCCTTGGTAAAGTGGAGTAAAAGATCCACCGTCAGCAACAGTCACAGCCTCTCCCTCCACCTCCACCGGCGCAAGGAAACTCCCTCTCCCTCCCGGTGCATGCCGGACGCCGCTGCGCTGAGCGTGATGGATGATGGGACAACACCTGTCCCGCTCGCCACGCACGCCCACCACCACACCCCATGCGCCCATGCCTCGTCGTCTCGTCCCGTTGCTTTCCCAATTCCCACGCAGTGACGCACCGCAGCGCCAGCGCCGTGTCGCCGACCCTTTCTCTTGTCCAGCGACCTCGAGCTCGAGGCACGGCAGCGCCGGGAACGCCGGGCCGGCCGGCCGGGGATGCTGCCGGGATGGATGGCTGAGGCTGACGCATGCAGCAGTGCAGCCCTGCAGCAGGGCGAGGTCGCCATGCCGTTTTGCTGGGAGCATATGCGTCCGTGCGGTGCAGCTGGCACTATTAGCCTGGTAGGGACGGACGACGGGTCCGTGCACTTGCGATGACGATGGCCGGTGCGTGTGGCCGTGTGGGGGTGAATTCAAGGCCTCGTTTAGATGGTAAATTTTTGCAATTCGGACACTGTAGCACGTTTTATTTGTATTTGACAAACTTTGTTCGATTATGGACTAACTAGGCTCAAAATATTCGTCTCGTGATTTACAATAAAACTGTACAATTAATTATTTTTTTACATACATTTAATACTCCATGCATATATCCAAAAATTGATGTGATGAAGAGAGAGTAAAAAAACTTGGAATTTTGATGGGATCTAAACAAGACCAAGAATGTCGTGCTGGGTGCAGTGCACTGTCCATGGCTGCATGACCCCATGCCCCATGCATGCCCGATGGGTGCTTCCGCAGTGCTCCACGCCGGCACTCGACAATCGACATGACCGGGAATCTGGACGTGTCGTGCATCTGTCACAATTGCTGAGAATATAGTAAATTCTTCCTGCGAAACCAAACATCTGTAAATTGAATCAATTAGGGCTCCTTTGATCATGGGATTGGAAAAACATGGGAAAGGAAAAATGTAGGAATATGATAGGATTGCATGTGCAAAACCAAGGATTGAAAAGCACAGGAAATTTATTGGAGTTGTTATTTGGATAGACACAGGAAGTTTGTAGGAATAGCAACCTTAGGAAATGTCTAATCCTTTCAGGTTAGTTTAATCAATTGTAGGCAAGCTAGCTCTTTTTGTGCCACATGCATTGCTTTTGTACGGAGTATTAGTTGCTCCAGCTATTCTTCTCTGAGCAATCATGTTTTTACTTCTGACTTGCCTCGATCCTATGAAAAAAAAAGCTCCAAATAGATGTTTGTTTTCCTATGTTTCACCTGTGAAACCGGTGGCGGAGGATTCTTTCCTCCAAAATTCCTGCAGCTCAATCATGTAAACCAAAGGCTGCTACAGTGATCATTCCTATGGAAATCACAATCCTACATTTCTCCCGTGAAATTCCTTTAAACCAAAGGAGCCCTAATCTATGATATCCAATGAGTATTATTAAATTAACTGTAGAATTGTATGTTTTTTTAATGAGAACAGGAAAAAAAGAGAGGAAGCTGACGAGAAACAGAACAGGATTAACAGGTTTCTGTCAATAATAATAACCTTCTTAAACCTGGCTAGGTTAGATGCTGAATTGACTTTCACTAACCGTGTGGACCTTGGGAGTTTTTGACTAATAGTGGCGACAAATGCGCCTACGCTCTCCACGTAGTACTGTCTCCCTGCGACTTTGGCTTTGGCCCCCCGGCAGCACACTCATCAGCAGCTCGGCCACCACACCCCACCAGCTTTCCTCCCTCGTCACGCACCCAACCAACCTTGTAGTTGTTGCACAGTACTCCTGTGCCCTCCCTCCTCATCCAGACCTGCCAAAAGGATCCGATGCAATCCAATCCAAAGCGCACATCACATCATTGCAAAGACGCACAAAAAGAAGATGAAAGATATATACTGTACTCCATCAGTTTCGGTAGAGGACTCCTATCATCGCCATGGCACAAAAGAATTTCAAAAAGGTCCAGATCTTATTATGGTAGTGTCTGTATCTGTGGATAAACTTTGCTGGGACAAAAGAAAAAGAAAAGAAAGGAGAAGGTTCGCTGACCTCCAATGGCGAGCGCCCCGTGCACCGGGAGAGATCCAACGCGATCGGCCATGTCGCTAAAGAAACAGTAGAATACAGCGCGCGTGGCACACCACAGCACTGCGCTCATTGATTATTGCTGCCCCCACATTCTTATAATTTGTTAGAGTATTTCTTTGTCACCAACACACTCCTCTTTGGAGCTCGCAAAAAAGGAGTGTGTTTAGCGCTCATTGATTATCACTCGTGCTTGCGCCAGTCGTGGGGACCTGCATCAAAATGAGAGCAGGTTTAGAGAGAATCCAAAGGTGGTTTGCATGTGCCAATCTGATCTTGCAGCAAACAAGGAGTATCTTCCTTCCCACTCATCGAAATATAAAAGTTACTAATCGAACAAGCTTGGCACCAACTGGGAATGAATCATGCAGCGGGCGGGCCAATGTGATGAGCCTGTGCCCTGCGCAGAGAAATCAAGAAGCTTTAAAATCCTTCTCTTTAGCAAAGCAAAAGAGCTAAGGATGCTTAGGGCAATGAAAAAAACTAGTAGTTTTTATAACATAAGATACCGCAAAAAAAAACTATTTTTCAACCTATGGTTTCTATGAGTAATAATTATTTTCTCTTTCTCTCTCCCAACTCTATCTTCTTCCTCCAATGGGAGTGCGGCACGAGCCCCCTAGAAACTGGTGGTTTCTCCACAATGGCGATTTCATGGTTTCTTGGTGCATTGGGTCAAAAGAAAACCTGATTTCTTCATGAGGAAACAGTTTATAGGATTTTTGCTCTCTTTCTTCATTAATTACGTTACTTACCTACATGACAAGTCATTTAATGAGGATAGAAACCATCATCAATACACCATTGGGACTGCCCTTATAAATCTTTCAGCTGATACTCCTAAGTCCTAATATACTTATATAAGCCTAGTGCTTGGGTAACAGTTGCTTGATTATTCTAATGTTTCTGCCTAATGCAGAGCCTGTGAGAAAATCTAAATCTAACGAAACAACCCAAGAATTTCCTCTGCTTGTAGTGAAAGGCAGAAGTATCTAAATTCTTCCATCAGCCAACTGCCAATCCATAGCAGCACCAATGAATGACCCATCTACTTTATTTCAGAAGTAGCATTTCCCCACAGATCCTTGTGTCAGTTGCTTTAATCGGGAAGATTAGTAGATCTAACTTCTAAGTGGAACATCTTAACCCTGAAGTGCACATGCTTTTAAGAGATCTCTGCACCTGGTTTCCACGACGACATGGATCCACATGCCAGCAGCACCAAGGCATGGACACCAACAACTCAACCCACAAAAGCTCCAGGTTTAGCAGCACGATGCATAAAACATGCGCAAATGAACCCTGACGCAGCTTCCGTGGAAAGCCAAGCAGCTCGAAGCTAGTCGACACTGCTATGATGTCACATGCTTCAACCCACTTTTCGCGGTTATTAAGATCAGGGTCGGGTCGCTGAGGAAGAAAAAAAAGGAGGGCAGGACAAGGGTCACAAGGCCCAACACCGGAAATTTCCCATGAATCTAGGCGCCATCTTTTCGATTTGTTTGGTCCTTTTCGTTGGGAGCTTCAAATTGTATCGTCTTGAGCTGTCCATGTTAGGGAGCCCACAAAAGGAAGATGCCAAGGTTTTCGCTGGGCCCAGCATGTGTCTGTGTGAATATTCGGTTCCTAGTGTTTGCCATCCTGTGATGAGTGCCAGACTGAAGGTGCAGCGTCTGAGTTCTCAGTCTGAGCTGAAATACATCCTAAACTGTAAATTCAGAACTCTGAGGACTTCCTGCACATGAATTATCTGCTATTGGAAAATGGAAAGGTATGTTGTGCTTCTACATTCCACACACATGTCCATGAAAACTACTGGTCGGGAAGTAACGGTAAAAATTGGCAGTTTTACAAAATGTCCATGAAGTGTTCTCAAGATGTATATTTTGACAGTTTATGATTAGTGATTATATACTATCCCCATGTGAGAAAAACTCATGACAATTAAGATAGATAGACTAAGAGAAATGAGCAGTGAGTTTGCTATAAAGTTAGTCATTGTTCAAGCATTTTGCCTTTTTCTTAAGTAAACTAGACTTAAGATGCCTTGATACAAGAAAACTATGACGAATATGAAAATTGTGTCATGTTCTGAGACACTGAAAAATCAAAGGGAAGCAAGGCACATGTTCAAGTTGGCAAGAAACAAGAAATCTACACATCCAAATAGTTCCGAGAATTTGTAAAGCTCCAGCTAACAGGCATAGCCTGTAAGGGAGAGAAAAGAAAAATAGCTTCTTGTGCTGCGATTAAGCACATGAGAGAGCCATCTTTTAAGGAACACTTAAATGTTCCACCATTATATATGGCTAGTAAGGTTATTGTGTATTGCTGACATGGCAAAAGTTAGTTAAAAGTACATGATAGTCAAGCTCTACTGGCCAATATGAATGTCGAATAAGAAAAGAAAGCTTTTGCAGAAATTCTAGATGTCAACAATTGATATCTAACATATGTGATGCCTATCGTTACATACTAACACTTATCCAAATATGCTCCTTATAGTCAAAGATCACAGAAACTTCTATCAAACGTTCCATTCAAAGTTTGTTAGGTGTTTCACTCTCTGCCATATCTAATACAAGCTTCAGCATGTTCAAAGAATGCTGTTGGGCAAAACATCTTGCAGCACCTTGATGGCTGCTGACTAAACCTGTACATTTCAAACTCGAATGCATGATAAATTAGAACTGTAAAGTGCATTTATTGTTGGTAATTGTGTAATGATGAGGGATCTCCATATACCCATCAATATTAAATATATTAATACACTGCCAAAGACAAATATTATATCTTTCTATCTTAGCTATCATAGCAATCGAGGTATTTAGTGCCCATTTTACCAAGAATGTATGTAAGATTGTGGTGAAAGAATATTGAAAAAAAGCAATTGCCTATTCAGCGCACCACTGCTAGTCAGCTACAACAAATGGAACATAGTGAAAACAGCTGGTATGTTTACCTGCAAATATCATCTACGTCTCTTAGTAGGGTCAGTTGATGCATGGATCTTTTCATTTACAGCCCCTTTATCAAATTTCCCTTCCAAACTAAAGTTATTTCCACATAGTTAGCTATTGGTATGAATTTGTCAACTGAAACTCAGCTTCTTCCATTAAGCTCTGCCCTGGAGCCTTATTCACACTCATCCTCCTCATCAATTTCCTCACCTCCCCTGCCTCCTCCCACCGCTCTGTTTCCGCATAAAGATTGGCCAACAACACATAGTTCCCCGAGTTCCATGGTTCAAGATTGATAAGCTCTTTCAGAGCCACCTCAGCAATGCCAAGCCCAGCATGAGCACGACATGCACTTAAAAGTGCTCCCCATATCGCAGCATTAGGCTTCATTGGCATCCCCTGAATCAGTACGTGCGCCTCCTCAAGGAGACCAGACCTTCCAAATAAATCCACCATACACCCGTAATGCTCAATTGATGGCTCAATGCCATGCTCCGACAGCATGCTCTGGAAGATCTCCCGCCCAATATCCACTGCCCCAGCATGCGCGCAGCATCCAAGCACTGCCAAGAACGTCACAGCATTAGGCTCCACTCCATGCCTCCTCATCTCCTGAAACAGATCAATCCCCTCAACTCCGTGACCATTCAATGAGAACCCAGCGATCATGGCGTTCCAGCTCACCACACTGCGCTGCCGTGTTGTCATAAACACCTCCTGTGTACTATCAACATCACCGCACTTGCAGTGCATATCCATCACTGCATTTGCAACATGCACTGTACCATCCAACAAGCCAGTCTTCCTCGCATACTCATGCGCCCACCTCCCTGCCCCAACATTCCCCGTCCTCCCACAAGCCGGGAGCACCGCCACCAAGGTCCCATCATCTGGAGCCACCTCTCCATCCCTGACCATCCTCTCGAAACACTGCACTGCCATGTCATCTCGTCCACGGCGTGCACATCCGGTGATCATAAGGTTCCAGGAAACGACGCTCCTCCTGGATCGCCCGTGCCGCTGCATTTCGTCGAACTGGTGGCGTGCGGCGCGGATGTCCCTGGCCTTAAGGCAGGCCGTGATGAGGGTGTTGTAGGCGACGGTCCACTTGTTATTTTGGGGCATATCGTCGAACAAGGCGCGGACGTGCGGTAACGGGTAGGGCTTGAGGAGAGCGAGGGTGATGGGGTGGTGTGAGAGGAAGCCGAGGCGGAGGAGGAGCGAGTGCAGCGCGGAGAGGAGCAGCAAGGAGGAGGAGGCGCAACCGAGGAGGGGCAGGAAGGTTAGGCGGTCAGGCGCGTGGAGTCGGCGGAGCGTGGAGAGGAGACGGAAGGCATCGTCCGGCGAGGAGGAGGCGGAGAGTGCCTTGACAGCGGCGTTGAGGAGCGTCAGCGGGGGTGGGGGATCGGGAGGAAGGAGGCGGAGGAGCGGCAGCGCGGGCGGCCGAGGGGAGGAGAGGAGCAGCAGCGCCGCGAGGGTGTGGTAGTGCGGCGACGGCGGGGAGCAGGGGAGCGCGCGGCGCTGCTGCTCCTCTGGAGCGTTAGTACCAGCACCAGCACCACCGCCAGCAGCAGCAGCAGCAGCAACGGCAGGACCTTCTCCCGCAGCGAGAAAGCAACCATACTCGGCGCCAGCTTCAACACTAGGCCCCTCTGCACCCGCACCAGCCACGGAACTACATCATCCCGACACACGAGCATACCCCTGTTGGCGGTTTTCGTTTGGGATGATTCGTCTTCCAGCTCCGGTGGTTGTGACGACGACACACAATCTTCTGACAGCATAGCAGCATGCATAGACGTCCTGTGGACGCGTTGATGCGGCCTGCTGGATCCCTGGTCTTCATCCCACCACCCATTGGAACTCATGGTGAAGTCCACCTAAGACTTGAAGGTAGGAGGATGTTGCGGCGTTGATGCTGGGCAATCGTTCACACCCGCCGCAACATCCTACTCGGACGCCCTGGACCCTGCTGGTGACACAGCTTCAGAATTCCTGCGTACGCGTTGATGCAATGCAATCGTTCACACCTGAAATAATCATCAACCAAAGTACGATATGAAGCTAATAAGTTTCTTTCAAATATAAAAGATATGAAGCTAATAAGTCGTCAGTGAGTATGTTTTCCCTTCTTTACTTTTCGCTCCTTAATTAGAATGTCATGGTGTTCAGCTAAGAGGCGTGCTACTGTTGGGCATCCGACAACCGGTGAACTGAGTGGCTAAGAGACGCCGGCTGAATTGTTAGCATGGGTTATCAGTGCTGGGTCCTGTGGGGACTTTCTGTTAGTGTGACAGCTGTTGGCGGTTAATGCAGCGCGTGATATATAAGCCCTTGTAATGGAATGGATGGAACTGTCGAATAACAGAAACCTGAAACTCTGAACTTCCATTCTGTTCTTCCATTTCTCATCCCATTGTTGTTGCTTTCCTTGTCTTAAACTCCGATTCCACCCAGTATCAGTTACGTTCCAATCCGGAAGGTAACACAAAATCGCAAAACCATATGGATAGTGTACGTCCTCCAAATTTTGCTGGGGTGGAAGACAGATTACCATTTGGCCACACACACGCACACACACACACACACACACACACACACACACACACACACACACACACACAAAAAAAAAGAAGGGGAAAACGGCAAGGGCGGCTCACCAGTCACCAGGCCGCTCGCCCGAGCAACCCAACCCACGGCGGCCAAGAGGAGACAACTCAACACAACTGGCGTCTGGCGGCCATATGGCCCAACAAAGCCACTACCAAGGCACCAAGCGGATCCCTCAAGCATACAACGAGCGAGTGATACACTATCGGACGCTAGCTATATCTATTGTACGCGGGAAGCCGGGGTAGTAGGGTAACTAACCAAGACAGAGAACGGCCGGCAGGCGGCAGACGAACAAAGTGCGGCCCCAGAGTTCGCCGAGGAGAATACTGCAGAGTGAAACTACTAGTAGACTATTCTTCTGAACTCTCAAGTGTGCACAGTTGCACGTCTGCACGCGCACATCCACAGCTCTTGCAAACCATCTTGGTTATACTATTAGGGCCCAAGAGACAACCAGAGCATGAGTTTTCCTCTGCCTACATTCTATACATTATTCAAATTCATAACACATCTCCTCTCTCACAAAGACAGACGTCCCATCTGTGTCTCCATACATAGACCTAAGTTAAGCTCAGAGTTTGTGGCCACCACAAGCTACGTCGAAGCGAGCATCACGAAACGGACAAGCCCTCATCAGTCACAGGTCGAGCTTGCTGGAGAGATACCAGGAGTGCAAGGCCAGGCTGCCGAAGCCCATGATGTTGGCCAGCGACGACAGCCCGTGGATCATCCCGAACTTCCGGTTCATCGCTGCCAGCGCAGGGTTCCTCTTTGCCATCTCTGCGTTCTTCGAGTACCCGACCTCGGTGCCGATGCCGAGGTCCTTCTCCATCTTGTGCCTCTTCATCATCATCTGCGCAAGCAGATAAACAAATAGATAGGAACAAGCGTAGAAAGAGCATTAGTGCTTAACCAACCAAAGGCATATTCTGTCTTCTACCCCCTACTTGTCTACTTGAATAGTACAAAGAGTTGTGCTCAATGTAGATTTCAGCGATCAAGATATCTCATTTGTCATGTTTGTTGTCATAAAGCAGAGAAAAAAGGTGACCTTCGAAATTGCATTGTAAATTCTTTACAATCAGATATTCTGAAGGTTCATACACATGGCCAGACATACGTCTATGCTTGTAACAAAAGCTAGATTCTTGCCTCCCAAATCCCAACGCTAGATTGCCCACTAAACAAAACATAGTGGACACTGTTTGAAAAAATAAAAAAAAGAAAAAGAAAAAGAAAATGGCAGGGAAACCAAAGTGTCAACAAGCTGACTGCAATTCTGCAAAACTCATCTTGGTGGTGCCAAGTTTGCAAAGACATTTTTTTGGAAATGGCAAACATCCAAATTTCTGTGATTAGACAAGTTGTCTATTCCTGATTCCCAAAAAGAAAACAAAAAACAAATCTATGTATGCACCACAACGAATTTGTTTTTTGTTTTCTTTTTGGGAATCAGGAATAGACAACTTGTCTAATCACAGAAATTTCCCAGAAAACACACATGGATTTTTCCGACTGGGAGAGACTGGGAGACGGGAGCAGGGCAAGAGACTGGGAGACGGGAGCAGGGCAAGGTGGGATCCGACTGGGCCGGCTGGGCTGTATCCGACTGAGCCAAAACGTTTCCGATTGTCAGTTTCCGGCCCAACTAAGATGGGATACGCGGATACGCCACGGATACGTATCCCAGCCGTATCCCAGGCGTATCCCGTATCGGATAGGCTATATAACAATATAAATCTTCATCAAAGTGTCTTCCCTTTGCCTTACATACCTGAACCAGTGTAGTTAATCTCGAAACTAAAGATAAACAGTAAAAAGTTTGCACTCATTAGTCCTGAGATTACCAAATACAGCGTACCCAAACTATAATACCGTGTGTCATTTGGCAAATGCAAAGAGAGGTAAATAAAAAGCTTAAGAGCATGAACAAAGTATATCACCTCAACGGTCATGGGCGTGAAGACCAAAAGGTTGGACAGGTTACATCCAAGGGCTGAAATAAGGAATCCAAGCTGGTAGCGCTCGATGGTTGATGCTGTCTTCCAGGGGTGCAGGTACGCGAATGCTGCCACGGATATCGCTGAACAAGCTGATATCAACATGAAGTATGCCGGGAACATTTTCCCCTGTAGACTCCCAAACTGGTGTCTCGGCAAGTACCTTCCGAATTCAAAAAGGATTTTATCAAAACATCATCAAGGTTGACACTGTGTTCTAATAATAAGGGAACAATTGACCCGCACATGGTGCTATTGCAACGAGAACATATATGCTAGACTTTACTTTTCGAGTGGACTTCTTAGTTCTCACTATAACAAGGTGTTATATTAGCACTGTGTAAAAATTTATTGAAGGTATATTTGAACAGCTGAGCAAAAGGAATTGCTTTTAGACTCTAAGACTGCACTGTATGCTATTCAAAAGTCCTAATATGTAACCAACAAATAAAAAAGCCACTCCACTTACTTGAAAAGTGGCAGCGGTGGTGCCAGAACTTTCAGAACGTTTAATGAGAAAACGATGAACAAAGTCATCATAATGTCCACAAGCTTATATCTAATGTTCTAGCACCTAATAGTAAGAACTATCTCGATATGACATAAGAGTACTCCAGACATCCTAATTCGCCTTCCCAACATATCTTCAAGGTGCAAGTCCCATTTTTGCAGTATGATGTTTCAGGACTAATAGTTACCAAATTAAGACGCTGATCCAGTGAATTCGTGAGGAGCAAAGACCCATGCAACTATAAGTCATATAATTCTAAAGAAAGATTCCTACTGGTTCTCATGTTACAACCATAATTCAAAATCAGCATGTGAAGTACTGAGTTTCCCTCAAGGTTCTTCCAAGAATGTGTGATGTGCACGGAAAATATGAAATTGACTTTGAATCGCTGCTGACAGCAGCAGCACATCAAGTTTGGCGTCCAACCCAGTCCATGGAAGGTGTTGAGGCTTGGGTGAAGTACTGAAGTGGCATCAGCGAGGAAGACAGGTGGATCTCATCTCTCCTCGTCTCCCAACCTTCCTCTGACCTGGGGACGGCCCGTGCAAGTGCTGTGGGCGGTGGGTTGTGAAGACTCGGCGCTCCGAGCACGGTGAAGCCGATGCCGGAAAGGGAGGAACGACACGGAGTGGTCGTGGAGGGGAATAAGACATCCCGGTCCGGCGGAAGCCATCACCGTCGCCGTGGTGGTTTTGCAGATAAACACCTAGTTTGGATAGTGATCCACATACTATTTACAGAAAAGCTCCTGGTGTTTTGTCCTTAACCCCCTCATTTAGAGCAAACGATTTTTTTTTGAAACAGCCCCCTCGCCGGATCCCTGCGCCTGGCGGCGGCTGAGCGAACGCTGGCGCACGCCGACGGCGAGGTAGCGGAGGGCCCGGCGCGGGAGTGAAGCTTCGCTTCCTCCTCGAATGAAGCTAGCAGGCAAAAAGCCTCAAGTCCCAGCGAATCGACACGGCAGCGGTAGCGCCTGCTTACTTGAACATGACGATGCCGCCGATGAAGGTGACCCAGAGGCCGGCGCCCCAGGCGGTGGCGAAGGAGAGGACGTGGACCAGCCTCGCGGCCGCCGCGGCGCCGGAGCCGCCGAGGGGCAGCGCGTCGGGCGCGAAGAGGACCCCCGCGGCCAGGAACGACGCCGCCGTCAGGAACCGCGCGGCCCACCCCATCGCGCGTCGCGGCCCTTGGACCGAGCTCCCGACGGGTGCCGCCTGGCCTGCAAGTCGTGGAGAACGGGGGATGGAGGACGGCGGTGCCCGGTGAGGTCGTGCGTGGGAACTGAAATGGGAGCTTGTGAGCTCTGATTTTGAAGAGGACGCCCGCTCCGTTGACCGTTGACGGCCCAGAAACATTCACCTTCCTGAACCATTACAATATGCCTGCTCCTTTCTTTCTTTTGTTTCTGTATATAATATATTAAATAATAGATAGTACTCTACTGTACTACATGCATCGTTGTCTTGCCTGACAAATCAAATCATTCTATTTTATGCCAGAAACTTCAAAGAGCCGGTCGTCAGCAAAGAGGACTTTGTTTTTCCTTGTTGTCTTGCCCACGGAGCCCATCAAATCCATGGGCGTGTCCGCGTGAACCGTGGAGAGAGTGTCGTGCAAGCACGAGCTGTGTGCACCAGAATCTGTGGGCAGTTGGGGCCAAGAGAAGAGGGCGAAGGCACAGGAACTAGTAATAGACTAGAGCAAAGAAACTAGTACTATTCGAGATCAAGGAATGCATACTTAGGGTGTGTTCAGTCGGGGAGGTGAAAATTTTTGATGTCACCTCGGATGTGTCGGAAGAATGTCGGGAGGGGTTTTTGGATACTAATAAAAAAAACAAATCACAGAACTCATCAGGAAACTGCGAGACGAATCTAATGATACTAATTAATCGGTCATTAGCACATGTGGGTTACTGTAGCACTTAAGGCTTTTCATGGACTAATTAGGCTTAAAAGATTTATCTCGCGATTTTGTCGAGAACTGTGCAATTAGTTTTTTTTCATCTATATTTAATACTCCATACATGTGTCTAAACATGCTCTTTTATTGTAGAAGGTAAAAAATTTTGGAAACTAAACAGAGCCTTAGCTAGAGATTTTAGAATCTAGATTCTAGATAAGGATTCCTTCTAGGGCCTTGTTTAGATTGAAGATAATTTCAACCTGATAAATAGTAGCACTTTCGTCTTATTTGGTAAATATTGTCCAATCGTAGACCAACTAAGTTCAAAAGATTCATCTCGTGATTTCCAACTAAACTGTGCAATTAGTTATTTTTTTACCTACATTTAATGCTCCATGCAAGCGGCTAAAAATTGATGTGATGGAGAGAGAGTGAAAAAACTTGGAATTTTGGAGTGATCTAAACAAGGCCTAGATAACAAGGTGTCCATGTTCTGCCCACTGCTGATCGACTGTGGTGAATGCCAAGGTGCAGAAAAAGGCTTATAGGCTGTTTGGTTCTTAGACCGAATTTTAGTCTATGTCCATCGGATGTTTATATACATGCATGGAGTATTAAATATAGACTAAAAAAATAACTAATTACATAGATTGCGACTAATTTACGAGACGAATTTTTTAAGCCTAATTAGTCCATGATTTGACAATGTGGTGCTACAGTAAATATATGCTAATGACGGGTTAATTAGGCTTAATAAATTCGTCTCGTAAATTAGTCTCCATCTGTGTAATTAGTTTTATAAATAACTCATATTTAGTCCTTCTAATTAGCATCCGAACGTCCGATGTGACATGGACTAAAATTTAGTCCGTGGAACCAAACACCCTTTTAGACCTCAAGAGAGAACTTGATTGGGAGCTCTTCCTATGTTCTGTCTGCATCGGTTTGTTGGAGCCAGAGCCATCATGTCTGCAGGGCGATCCCAACTAGCCTAGGATTGGTGACGCTGAGTCCACCTAGCTCCTTTGGTCGGAAAACCGTAGGCCATGCACTGTACATTTGCCTTGGACTAAACCTTCTCGTTCAACTAGAGCAATCAGCGACAGATTGCATCGATTTCCTTGGGGACCAAAGGAGGTAGGTTCTCAGTAAGCAAGGTGTATATTGGTACTATGGAGAGATCCAATTTCACCCAGACCAAGCTCCTGGCCATCAGCAGGCCACCGACTGCATCTACTGTTGCATGCCCTTGAGCTCAGCAGCAAGCCAAGGTAGTGAATCAAAAAAATCTTAGGTTTGGCAACCAAGGCTATATCTAATGCCTAGTAGATCGTTCTAGTTTTCGATGATCAGGGTGAGCAAACACTTGCCAAGGTTGGCTCGTAACCTAGAAGAATCTCCAAAAATGTGGAGTATCTCCTTGATCGCCAATGCTACTTGCATGTCAGGGTGGGCAAAGAGAATGACATTGTCGGTGTATGGGTTGCATTAATGTTTGAGTGCCCCCGTTTCCATGACCCTCAGCACCCCATCCGCTCTTGCCTCAGCAAACAGTCTAGTGAGCGCTTTCCATAGACAAGATGAAAAGCATTGGCGACAGGGAGTCACCCTAGCGCACTCCTATCTTTGTCATGAAGTGGTCATGTACATGATAATTGCCATCCGACGGCGCCAACGCTAGCTGAATCCAAATACATGCATCCAAATACGTTGCCCAAGAGAAGTGGGTAGGTGGTCATGGATATACAAATAGTAATGAACAATTAATTTCCACACTCCATCATGCGGGAGGAGATAAGTTATACGGAGTATGTATAGTTATCTATCACACGGCCACCACGCTTTCTTCGCTATGAGATGTTGAACCAATGCGGAGCTAAGGTCGCGCCCTGCCTCCCAAGAAGGCTTCCAACCCCTATTTAAGCGCTATGTACCAGTGAGACATTGGGGACACATGGTTTTACTATGTTGCGCGTGAAAAAAGGTTAACTGAACAAAGACAAGCTAGCAGACGAATCGAACCACTTGGATGATCTGTCCCATGCATTGGCTGCTCACTGCTAGGGTTGCAGTGATCACGCACGTGCATAGATTCCAAATTATAAGTTGTTTTGGTTTTTCTTGGTACATAGCTTTTGCTATCCATCCAGATATATGCTATGTCTAAATACATAGAAAAACTATGTATCTAGAAAAACCAAAACGACTTATAATTTGAAATAGAGGTAGTAATAGTGAACGAAGTGGCTAAATAGTAAATACCGCCTTGGTGCATAAATGTATGGCACAATTTGATTTGGCGGTCTTTAAAATAGGTTGAACTTAGACAAAATAAAACTCATGTAATATATTATTAATAGTAAGAAATGTCATAATGTACACTTTAAAATACAAATATGTTGGTACAACTTTTGTATCAATAGACTCATATGTAATTATCCTAGTTGGTCAAGCGACACAACGCTTTTCAAATTTTGATATGCATGTGTAATTTAGATATCTAAACATAGGGTGCAAGTCATTACACTTCTCCAATATTTCACAAGAAAAAATATGTATGAAAAACAGAAAAGGTTCAACAAATAAAATCTATATATATAGTCGTATTTACATGATCTTGCTTTGATGCATCACTAGAAGTATTAATTGTATACAAAAAACTATTAATGTTTATGATACCAAATAAACATCACTAGATGAATCACATCATATATTTTCATAGTAAATCTATTTAAAAATACAAACGTTAATATTATTTTCTAATAATATAGTGAAACTTGAAAAATGTTTGACTCCTTGAAGTGTGAGATATGCAATTATTTGAGGACAGATGAAGTAGCTGTAAATCTCGTAGTTATAGAAGTCAAATAAACTTAAGTTTGACTAAATCTATATAAAAATGCTAAAATTTATAATATCAAATAATTATCATCAGATTAATCACATCATGTATTTTATACTAATCCTAATTAGAGGTACAATGTTGACATTATTTTCTATAGATCTAGTCAAACTTAAGATTTGTTCGACTCCTCGAGACGCGAGACATGCACTTATTTTGGGACAGATCTGAGGGAGTAAGCTCTACAGAAAATTTGACGTCGGAATATAAATGATACTGTCAAGGAATAAAAGCTATACTCCGCGTCAGATAAGCGAAAAAAGGATTTCTAGGATCATAACCGTAAGCAAGTTATTTCCGGTGTCAAATAAGGAATTTGTCTCGACAACATTTGCTCGAGGTCATCTCATGCTTTGCTTTCTTGATGAACTCTCCTCTGTTTTCTCGTGTTATTTTTTCTCCTATATAGATTGAAAAAAAAACCTTTTCAGACTTTTTTGTAAGGCTGAACGTTGTGGCATTGTCTACTCAGGTGACTTGTCTCGCTTGGACAAATCACCACATTTATCTGAAACTTCGGAGAGTCGATCATCGACAAAGAAGACTTCTTCTTTTTTCTCTCAACAAAAGAAGATTTCAGTCTTGTATCCATACTAAATTGTTGCATGAACAATAGAAACTGAATTTTGGTGGAGTCACTAGAGCCCAAATCCATGGGCTTGAAGATATTCAGACAATCAGACCTGGGCAGCAGAGATTTCCTTGCAAAACTGAAGCTGTGCGCACAAAAATCAGTGGGCAGTTGGGCCAAGAGCCCAAGACAAATGGAGGAAGAGCACATGGTTTTGGTCTTTTGGACCACTAGACGAAACAAACCAGTGTTCAGGAATGCACAGCTAATCCCTATGCCAGTGCCATTATAAAAGATCGCAATCCCCTGTGTGTCCCTAAAAAAATTCAGCGGTCTTCAGCGCCACTACTCTAACTTTTTCAGGTCCTCCATGCCACTTCCGTCAGTCCAGGCTCTAACGCCGTCAAACTGCAGGTGTGAAAAGACGAAAATGCCCTTAAGTTCAAATATGTTATTAATTTTTTTGAGCATCTTAACGACTTCAAATGAAAAAACTCAAAACTAAAAAGTTGTAGATCTCGTCGAGATCTATAATTTTCATATAAAAAATATTTTCATTTAATTCCGCAAAAAAAATCTGATTTGATATGATTAATATATCTTAGAAAAATCATCATATTTTTTTTGCAAAATTAAATGAAAATAATTTTTATATGAAAATTATAGATCTCGACGAGATCTACAACTTTCTAGTTTTGAGTTTTTTCATTTGAAGTCGTTAAGATGCTAAAAAAAAATTAATAATATATTTGAACTTAAGGGTATTTTCGTCTTTTCACACCTGTACTTTGACGGCGTTAGAGCCTGAACTAACGGAAGTGGCATGGAGGACCCGAAAAAGTTAAAGTAGTGGCGCTGAAGACCACTGAATTTTTCCAGAGGTACAGAGGGGATTACGATCTTTTATAATGGCATACAGAGAAAAGTCTCTTTTCTCATCAAGGCCATGTTTAGATTGCAAAAAATTTCAACCCGATGAATAGTAGCACTTTCGTCTTATTTGGTAAATATTGTCCAATCGTGGACCAACTAAGCTCAAAAGATTCATCTCGTGATTTCCAACTAAACTGTGCAATTAGTTATTTTTTTTACCTACATTTAATGCTCCATGTAAACGGCTAAAAATTAATGTGATAGAGAGAGAGTGAAAAAACTTGAAATTTAGAGGTAATCTAAATAAGGCCCAAGCTCAGATGACCGTTTTTTAGCTGCATACCTGGCCTATTCAACCTGAGGCTTTTCGATACAGACACATGTCAGCTTGTAATCTGATCTCCATAAAATGCTTAAATCATGCACGCCTCCTACACTCCAGTCGCCTCAAATCGAAATCGATTTCAGGCGACGCCCGACCGCGGCCGCTCGACTCCAACCCGCGCCCGCGCTCTCCCCCTCTCCCCATGCGCCGCCGCTCCTCCCTCTCCCCCCTCCGGCGACCTCCTCCCACCTGCGCCGAGCACCTCCCCCACGCAGCTCCTCCTCCGCCTCCTCTGTCCCCTCCGGCGGTGGCGCAGGTAGGCCCCCTCCTCCTCCTCCTGGATCTAGAGTTCCGGCAAGCTCACCTCTCTCTCTCTCCCAACTCCGGCGGGCTTAGAAAAAGGAGGGGGCTCGGGGAGGTAGGCAGGGCAGGCGGTGGGGATGGTGGAGGGCGGTTTAGGGCCCCTGGCGGCGGCCGGGCTAGGTCGGGGCGGGGGAGCTCCGTCGAGGGGGGGGGAGGGATTGTGGGGGCTGGGGGAGGCGGGCGCGCGCTAGGGCTCGCCCAGAGCTCCGCGGCCGCGGAGCTTCGGCCGAGCCCTAGCGCGCCCGCGGCGGGATGGGGGCCGGCGGCGGCGGAGCGGTCCAACAGAGGCAGGGTCGGGAGAACGGCGGGAGAAAGAAGATGAATAAGAAACAGAGATGGAGCGTTGGATGGAGATCCAACGGCTGCAATCAATCGCCTGAAAAAAAAAGAAAAATAAAATTTCAGTCACCTGTAGGATAGCAAGTCCCTAAATGATGACATCAGTAAACATTGGTATCATGGAAGAAACGACATTCTTGTGTCTTCCTTCCATTTCAATCGTTTCTGTTTTCAATCCAACTTTTTTCAGTAATCCGGTGCCTTCTAACTTGATAGATCTCCATCTCTGCCTTTGCAGAGACAGAAGCAAAGCACCGTGGCAATCACAAGCCAATACCCCCCACCCGAAACAACACAACGCAATTATTCAGGAACGCCTCTGGATCCTCCTTCCGTTCTATACCCCGAGCTGCTCGACGCCGAGCGTGACCGAGTGCGTGAGCTCGCCGATCATCAGCCTGTGCTCGCCGACGGGGATCCGCCACACGCCGTTCCGGTCCGCGACGCTGAGCCGGTCGCACACGTCGATGCCCATCTCCACGCGCGCCACGCCGCCGGCGGGCACGTGCACCTTCTCGAACGCCACCAGTTGCCGCGCGGGTGCGTCCGCTCCGGGGGCGGCGGTGGATGACGAGGGCGCCGCGTGGTACACGAGCACGGCGTGCGCTCCGTCGCGGTCGCCGACGTTCCTCACGTCCACGTGCACGGGGACCGTCAGGCCCTCGCACCGCGCGTGCGCGACCCGCACGGTGCGGGCGGGGCGCATGCGCGTCGCGTTGAGGAGGGACGACGTCGACGCGGTGGTGGCGGCGTGGCCGCCGGAGAGCCGCACGGTGAGCTGCGCCGGCGCGTGCGCGAGCGTGTGCGTGAACTGGGTGTAGCTGAGCCCGTGCCCGAACGGGTGGATCGTCGGCCCCGTGTAGAACCGGTACGTCCGCCCCGGGTACCCGCGCGCCTGGTTCGCGCGCATCGCCATGTTCGTCATCGGCACCTTCTGCAGGTAGTCTTGAGGGTACCATGTCACCGGTAGCTTCCCGCCTGTTAATACAAAATTTGATGAATTCAGTCAGACTCTGTTTTCATCTTGCGCAAAAATCTGATCTTTTGAGTGTTCAAACCAAAGCAGTAATAACCCACACACCTGGGTTATGGTGTCCAAAGATGACGTCGGCGATGGCCTGTCCGCCTGCCTGGCCGGGGTAGCCCACCCACAGGATCCCGTCGATCCTCGGGTCATTCTGCGCGAACGCGATGTCGATGGGCCCGCCGGACATGAGCACGAGGATGACGGGGCCCTTGGACGCCTTGGCGACGGCCGAGATGAGCTCGGCCTGTCGCCCAGGGAGGAGAAGGCTGGTCCGGTCCAGGCCCTCGGCCTCCACCTTCTGATCGAGCCCGGCGACGACGACGGTGGCGTCAGCTTGGCGCGCCGCGTCCACCGCCGCGGCGATGGGCTGGTTCTTCCCCTGGCACGCGACGTCGGTGCACCCGGCCTGGTGCACCGCCCGCGCGACGTACCCGGCCACGCCCTGTAGCGGCGTGGTGTACCGGCAGGGCTTGCCCGCGTAGTTCCCGATCATGGCGACGGTGGCGTCGGCGTGCGGGCCGACGATGGCGACGACGCGGTGCGCGGCGGGGTGGAGCGGGAGGACGTCGTTCCTGTGCTTCCCCCGCTGGTTCTTCAGCAGCACGACGCTCTGGCGCGCGGCGTCGAGCGCCAGGTCCTGGTGCTCCCTGGTGCACACGTCCGCGGGGCCCAGGTGCCCGAACGGCCCGGACGCGGGGTCGCCGTCGAACATGCCGAGCCGCATCTGCACGGTGACGGTGTTGAGGAGCGCGGCGTCGACGTCGGCGTCGGAGACCTTACGCCTGGCGACGGCGGACTCGGTGTAGAGCGCGAGGAAGGGGCCACAATCGAGGTCGAGCCCGGCGCGGAGCGTGGCGGCGACGGCGTCCTCGGTGGTGCGCGTGTAGTGCTGGTCACGGAAGAAGACGTCGACGGAGTCGCAGTCGGAGACGATGTACCCCTCGAGCCCCCACTTCCCGCGGATGGTGCCGCGCAGGAACGCCTCGTCGGCGCAGGTGGGCACGCCGTTGACCTGGTTGTAGGAGCACATAACGCTGGCGGCGCGGCCATCGGCGACGCAGGCGCGGAAGGGCACGTTGAAGGTGTCCTCCAGGTCCTGCGCGCCCACCACGGCGTTGAAGTGGAACCGGTCCGTCCCGCCCCAGCAGTCCAGGTCGTACGCCGTGAAGTGCTTGCAGCAGGCGGCGAGCTTCAGCCGGTTGTGGTGGTGGCCGTCGGAGCCGTAGGGCTGCTGGAGGCCGCGCACGTAGGCGGCGGCGTAGCGCGCGGAGACGGCGGGGTCCTCGCCGGGGGTCTCCTGCCCCCGGCCCCACCGTGGGTCCCGGAAGATGTTCACGTTCGGGGACCAGAAGGTGAGCCCCGCCCGCCCGCCGTTGTACATGGCGCGCGCCTCGTCCGACACCGCCTGCAGTTGCACCGATCGATCATCCATCAACGTGTGTACGAGATGAGTGGTAAGTAGGAGTATTTTTTTTCTTTCATCTCGGTCAGCGTTGAGTTCATGGGCATGGACCATGGTCGGAGATGAGTGGGGTGTGCACGGCTGCCGAGGCAGGCAGGATGGCCTGACATCTCTGCCCGGCGGTCCGGCCAATCAAGTGGCTCCTGTTTTTGGTGGCCCAGCAGCACTGTGCTGTCACGCGACGGCTAGTCGGTGTCGTCATGACCCTACAAGTTACGATGCTCATCGCCATTGGTGCCGCTCCTCGTGATGGAGTTCTTCTGTAGCAGACATGGTTATCTACTGCAAACCACTAGCTCTGCACCTCAACGCAGACATGGTCACGGTCACCACGATACCACTTGCTCTGCAGACCGCAGATGTTCTACTAGTGGCCGGCGTTTTGGTCCGTCCATGGGTTACCTACATCGCTTTACTACCACCGTACCTTTTCCACTCAAGATCAGATGCATCAACTTTCTCTAGTTACTTTATTATCCAGGATATTTTTTGTTTTGTTTTTTTTGTCTGCGGCGTGTTAGGATGAGAGAAAGGGAGATGTGGGGTTGAAAGAAAGGTGGTTAGATTTGGATTGGGCTAGGCTGGCTTGCACAGGGCTGCACCCTCTCGCCATTGGTCCATCCAGCAGGGGAATTCCTTCCCGTCAGCATTGCACACTAGTACAGAACTTTCAGAACCTGGACACTAGCTACCTTTACAAAATAGTTGAAATCTCACCAAATCAGTGCATGCAACGTGAATTTTAACACCCAACGACCCCTAGCACTTCACAAACAAGGCCTTATTTATATTGCAAATTTTTGTAATCTGGACACTGTAACACGTTTCGTTTGTATTTGATAAACTTTATCCGATCATGGACTAACTAGGCTCAAAAGATTCGTCTCGTGATTTACAACCAAACTATACAATTAGTTACTTTTTTACCTACATTTAATGCTCCATACATGCGTCTAAAAATTGATGTGATGAAGAGAGAGTGAAAAAACTTAAAACTTTGAGGCAATCTAAACCAGGCCCAAAATTTCAGTGCAGAAACTCTCTCTCTCTATCACACACACACACCAGCAGCAGCAGAATCTATGATGCAGTAGGGTGGTTTGTAGCGGCAAGAGGTTGGTTTACATTAAAGTTAGGAAATCAATTGACGTTTTCTAGGCGCTAGGTAGGCATGAATCTTTGCCTAGTGCATGACACTGACTGTCTGACGCCACTACTCACAGAGGTCGTGTGTAGCATGTGCACTGCATTGGTTGGAGACCAAGGGACAACCAAACATTTTTGCACCGTGCTCCTCAAATGGGACAACCAAACATGGTGCGACCGACGACGGCCAGCACGCACCTGCACTAACCGTGCCGTTTTTTTTACAGTGAGCAAAGAAGCTGCAGCAACCACCACTAAAAATGGCTATAAAAACAGGTAAACAAGGATGCAATGCAATGGAAGCACACCTCTAATGAAATAAAAAGCAGCAGCCACTTGCATTTGAGGAGTACTGACTGATTCTGCATCGCATCTCTTCTCTTCGTTAACGACCGCGGCCCGTGATAGTTACTGGAGCACAGTACTTACCACTTAGGAGTACCAGGCTGGGGCTGTGACTGTCCTCGAAATCAAATAAATTAAAAAAAACAACTACTGTGCTATGGTGCAATCCATACGGCTGGTACCAAAAGATCAAAAGCAAAATTGGATCAAATTCAACTATTTTGCACCCCTCCCGAACCACCTCCACCTCCAATTCGGATGTACGTACTAGTATACTCGTAACCGTGCAACCGCCTCCTTTAGCACGGATCATCCAAAACGGCTTCACCGGTGAAGTCAAAGCCGATGAAGCAAAAAAAACTAGTTTTTCTCGGCTTCTAGTTCATTTTAACCCTGACTTACAAAACGGTTTCACGCTATAGTACCTCGATTTGCGCAAAATAGATGAAGCCGAAGCCGGCATAAGCCGTGCCGAAGAGGCCTTAAGTTTCGGGCTCCACCACAGAAACAGTAATACATGGGACCACTAGATTTTGATCTGACGGCTCCGTGGCGGCGGCGGCAGCAGTAGTTAGAGTCGTTGTTTGGTTTCTAGGCTGATAACCCCGATTAATGCTGGTTTGTTGTGAGAGAAAAACACTATTAATAGCCCGATGGCTGATAAGTGAAAAGGCTGACTGCACTGCAACCAAGACCGCCAACTGCCACGGCCAAAGCCTCGACAACCATAGCACGGCGCCGCACAGGCACAGCGAGCGACACGCGACAGCCGAGGACGAGGACGCCAACGCCAGACGCCAGAGCGCGCACAGACATACGTCCAGCCGCCTCTCACTCTCACTCACATGCGTGCACGACAACAAAAAAAAAAGCCCACAGGCCACAGGCATTCGACGACGACGGCGCCGGCGGCAATGCCAAGCAAAGCAATCCAGGTTCGCTCGCACGTATCATACATACGTACCCGTCCGATGAGCTCCCAGAGCGTGGTGTTGAGCGACGCGGCGGCACCGATGACCTGCGGGAACGCCGTGGCGCCCGGGAACGCGCCGCCGAACTTGACCCCGGGCCCGGTGTCGGACACGCCGTGCAGCGCCTCGGACCACCACTCGTAGCCCGCCAAGCCCAGCCGGGGCACCCCCGCCGCGTTGTTCACCAGCAGCCGCACCTTCTCGGCGCGGGTCAGCCGCGACACGAGGTCCCGCGCCCGCGCCTGCAGCGGCAGCGACTGCCGGCAGAACGGCAGCGTCGTCGCCGGACCGCCCGGCGCGCACGCGAACGCCGCGCGCGCTGCCGCTGACGACGCCGGCGTCGTGGCGAGGAGGAGGAGGAAGGGGAGCAGGGGGAGGGGGAGATGGGGGCGGCGGCGCCGCATGGCTGCCGGCTGCCGGGTGGTGCGGATGGTGCAAGGCAATGCGGTGTGTGGTTGTGGAGAATGGAGATGGAGCGGTGGTGAGGGGGGAGTGCGGTTATATACGCTAACACCAGCGGCAAGCGGCACCGCGCTCCTCTGATGCACATCTGCAAGCAAGTTGCAACCGCCGCAGCCTGCAGGGGAGGAGGAAGATGGCCGTGCAAGGAAACGAAAAGAATATCACTCTCTCTCTCTCTCTTTCCCCGGTTTTTTTGGAAGGAAAAAAATGAAACACGTACAAGACTTCTGAAAAGTAATCACTGTTCCGTTTGATCACTTAAACTAATCCGTGTATCATTATTAATGCGTATTTTTATAATGAAAAAAAATGATGGGCTTGCAATTGCAAGACTGTATGTAACCGCGGCGTGACAGTTCGTGCAGTTCCCGGGGTAGTACCTCTGTTTTCAGTCAGTGAAGGTTGTTAGGTGCTGGATTTTGGTGATATTTATATTTATTTATGTCTTGAGGAATTGAATTCGTGCGAAAGGCAGGTAAAACAAACTGACTGACTGGTAAATGTGTGCCAAGGACAGAGCACAGCATCAGCGATCAGTAACTATGCTGCTATTGGTCTTAGACTGCCCTGAGCGATGCTGAAACAGCTCGTGAAATAGTTTTTTATTCGTTTCAGCACCGATGCTTCTACATGCCTCGATGCCTGAGTTTTCTGGCTCTGGCACCGCCCCCTGCAATGTGTTGCATCGATGCTGAATTCTTCTCTCTCTTCGTTTCAACATTCTCTCTCCTTGTTTCAGCATCGATATTTGATACACTGTGGGCAGTCTTAGAATCTGCAAAGGCAATAATGATTTCATGGGTAACCAATGGACATGTGCAATGGTGCATTAGTGGGAGGATGACACATAAACTAGTCTGAGTTTTTGTGGCTGATGTTAGTCACCACACAGGCTGTTGCAGAGAGAGTATCTTTTGTTGCAAGGACAAAGGCGCCATAGCGAGAATCTTTATGGCCTAGTACTTCTAGTACGAAAATATAAGAGCTGTTCGGCTGATGGTTTCTGCGGCTGATAAGCCGGTTGATGCTGTTTTGTTGTAACAGAAAAAAATATACTATGACTGATAAGTCGGACTGATAAGTTGAAGTGAACATTCCAACATAGAGAGCACATTGTTCTCAATCTCCATTCATTCATCCATCCAAAAGCACTCATTTTTTTCCTCTCTAGTTAGAAGTACTTTTATTTATACACAACTTATGCAACATCGGTCCTAAAAATGAACTACAGATGTCAAATTGGTGCATCCCAATTCCCAAACCACGTTTTGGATCAAATAACCATACAAAATCTACGGTTTTGCCTCAGGGCGCGTTGAACACTTTCCGGAGGTTATTATGAACACAATGACCAAAAGTAAATGGTTTTGATAAAAAAAACCGCCTTTACCTTTTGGGTTGTTGATGTACTGTCAAAAAGAGACTGTCGCCTTTAGCCGTTTATTCGCAGCACTTTTTTTTTTTGTTTGAAAAAGAGAGAGAGAGAGAGAGTGAGAGATATTCATGGCGTGAAATGAAGGACCACTCGCAAGACCAAAAGGATATTTCCCTATCCAAAACATATCATCGGAAGGAGACGTACGTAGCAAGCATGCAACCACTCTACCCACAGCCGCAAACGGCGCCATCATCTGAGCTCAAAATGTGCTGGTACGTACTTGCAACACCCTGTACGTATACGTACCTGTATGCAGCAAAAATGCATGCTTTTCTTTAAAAGAACCCAATTCCACATACACAAGAGAGAGAGAGAGAGAGAGAGAGAGAGAGAGAGAGAGAGCAGTTCAATTTTTACAAGAAAAAAAAAACTGTGCCAGAAAGAGGAGAAATAAAAGGGCAGCTTGTGCATGCTTTTATGAAGCAACTGAAATTCTCTGCAGGCAGGATATTAAAGCGTCTTCTGCTAATTTGTACGGTTGATTTGTTGTGGAAGGAAAATACTGTTGCACAGCTGATTTGTACGGATTAAAGCCGGCTGAATAGCTCAAGCGAACAAGCCCAAGTTTCCATGGAAAGTAAGAGTAAAGGGGGTGGTTCAAAGGAGAAATAAACCAAGCATTTCTTTCCACTTCTTTACATTTGGTGATTTTCGTTTATCTCACAAGTCACAAACAACGTAATAATACGACT